AGTATGTTTCTGTCGCTTGGCTTTAGATCCCTCCTTTTAGTGTACCCGTTTTCAGATATGTTAATTTTGTTGTTCAGAAATGGCAACTTCTTCTTTCTGCTTTTTGCCTCTGAAGTTTCTCAGTGGAAGAGTCGTAGAAAACAGGGAGCAAGCGAAAAAGCTATTCTGTCCCAAATACGGTTGAAATCTAGGTTTCGTTGTATCTTTTTTGAATTCTCAAGGTATTTGGTTGAGTAGATTGCAGTCAAGGTTTTCTTTTTTTTCCATGCGATTCGCTGAAAGGTCGGCTACTGGCAATAAGTGGTATAGTAATAGCCTCGTGAGTTCTTAAAAAAAACAGTGAGTTGTAGACAGGTGCTTTTACAATCATATTATTTAATTAAGGCTTCCAAGTCTTCTGGTTCAACGTAGCAAGGCAGTAAAACCATTTTGTAAAGTAGTTACTAATTTTTTAATCGAAACATTCCCAGTTTTCATATGGTTCGCGGCGTTTCATATCTCGGACAGTTTTCCTTTTTCGCCGTGAGTAACTCTTCACAGATAGGTGTTTTCTAGAAGGAAAGGATCTCTTTTACAGTTATGGCGAAACTACGGTTTTTCGAAGCTAAGAGGTCTCGTTTCGTCGACGTAGAAGCAGTACTATCTCCTTATCTAAGGTTGGTACAGCATTTGTACTGTATTTTGAGAGGTGATCAAAACAAGAATGGAAATCGCCCTTTAAGACTTCTGTCCACAGCACGTATCTTCCATAGTGATTTATCTTTTGAGAGCAGAGAATATTGCGAAAGGAAGTGGGAGTCTCAAAACGTCACAATTCATGCGAGAGTCGACCGTATATTCTGATCAACATAGGATGCTACTCCTTGACACCTCAGTGGTAGCTGAATTCTCTACTATCCGATCACCTCCTTCTATTTGGACTCCTTTTCCTTGCAAGGATTCGTTTCATGCATAAGCGAGAAAAGACCTCCTGTCGTCGTTAAGTCGAGGCAAGTGGCGCATGGCGAATATATTCTGAATAAAATCCCTTCCTTGTATGTGCAGTAAATAAAGGAAGACCCGCCTAAAGAACCTCGGTTGTTCAATAAACATTAAGCACAGCATGAAGGAGGAATTAGGCAGAAAAAAGAAGCGGAATGGGCCGCATTCATGCCTCTCAGAGAAGTCACCGACCAACAGACGGACCCAAAACTAGGCGCGCACCATTTCAACACAACAGTCCTTCCACCGTTATGCAGAGACGCAGGAAGATACTTCAACAACGTTGAGGAGTTTGCACACCAGCCTTATAGCACTTGAACGTTTCGTCGACGTTGAAGCAGTACTATCTCCCTATCTACGGTTGGTACAGCATTTGTACTGTATTTTGAAAAAAAGCTCTTTCATTTCAAAATTTCCGCAAAAGTTTTATCTCTAAAAAACTTTTGAAATGGTTGAACATTGTGAGAACACAAGACTTTTGTAAACGATATTTGTGGCCTGGTGCAACAGAGCTAATTCTGTTATATAAGGCCTTGGAGTTGAGTTCCCAACTCTTCAAGTGCTCCGAGGAGACAGAAATTACCATCAGTTTTCGAAAAATAAAATTGAGGTGAGTAAATAATAAATACGAAAACTGACGGTAGTAAGCAATAGACAAAACGCCGCATTGAGCGAGTCTCTTCAAAAAACTCCGATCAATTAATGAACACAGATTTTTGCCCTTATCTCTCCCGTCAAACAGTTCAACGATTTTTCATGAGACTTCTCCCGCAGCTGAGGCCTAAGCGTACTTCATTATCAAGAAATTTCCATATCCCCTAAAGGGCAGTTTTCTGAAATATAACTACTTCGCTCCCACAAATATCCTTTCGTTATTCTTCTCAATATCCGCCTCACAAAAGGCATAAATAGGACAGACATGACAAAAATTATGGAAAGATTAATGAGGAGATCAGATTCCAACAGATAGCGTATTCATTCGAGTATAGGGACAGAAAGTAGATTACTCTGCCTAACTGATTCTGCAATTGAATGCAGGTCGGTGTTCAAGGGACGAATCCCGGAAACAGTAACATCGAAGCCTCCCTACTAGAAAGCAATGACTGCATTGTTATATGAAGAGCTGACATATATGTATATATCGATTGTTTATGCTAGGGTATATAGAAAGCCCGTTTTTTGAGTTTATAAACACTTTCATAAAAAACGCCTGTGATGCAATTCGTTGATTTTTTCAAGATAACAATTATGAGGGCAAATACGGAAAATAAACCACAAGGAATAACACTGCTTCATGTTTTGTTCTTAAGGTTATTTTTGGCCTTTTCGAGAAGTACGTTTGCAGCCTCCCAAAGGTTCACCGCCTCATCGTGCCTGAAAGGCGTTCCTTGGTGCGGGTCTGCGATGTGCAGCGGCATTACATCCCCAGCAGGGTCTACTAACCTGAGAAGGAGTCTGGCGTTTCCATCCGGAAGCCCAGCCAAGTGTTACTGAATACTGAGAACCATCACTGTCCTAGTACCGAAGTAGTCGTGAGGTAGCAAATCTCACTATAATTCACAACGATCGGCCACCCTCTGTGACGGAGACCATCTAAGGAAGGGTTCAGCCAGACTGATTTCAGACTTTAGGAAAACCATATTGACTAAACCAGCATACCTCTAATTTCAGCACTCCACACTTTCGCTTATGACGTCGGACGCTGGGACAACCGATGAGAAGCGATCAAATCTCGAGTTACACAGGACGTTATTTGGAATAGGCAAAACGAACAAGCCCACGACACGTCGTGAAATTTGTTTTATTGTCCCTCACTTGTAACACCAGAACGGCCTTCACCGAGGCCGATCTCTACACGCCTCTAGAGGACGCTGGCCACATGAAAGCCTATGTTAAAGCTCTACAAGAGGCGAAAAGCAGGCAGAATGACACACGTTTATTAGATGACGGAACCTTTGTCATTCATGGAGAGAAATCTTCGTCACGAAATGTCGAACGTATTAGTTTTGTCGTTTACCCATCTCTTTTCTATCTAGTCACCTCATACGAAACTAAGTTGCCTCGCTTGTGCAATTTTTTTCTCTAACTTCAGCGTACAAAGAAAGCCAGTGACATCAACTGCGACTAACTAACCTGTACAGTTAATGAGAACGAGCTGGACCCCTTCCACGCCCAACTAGAGGAAGTAATCCGCAGCGAAAACCGTTTTATAAATTCGTCATTGGAAATTTCAATGCCAGATTAGGAGCAGCCTACGAAAATAAATATTGTAACGGAAATTCGGAATAGAGGCCCGAAGTAAGAATGGAGGCATGGAAAAATCCGTAATTGGCGATCAAAACAAGAATGGAAATCGCCCTTCAAGGCTTCTGTCCACAGCACGTATCTTCTACAGTGATTCATCTTTTGAGAGCAGAGAATATTGCGAAAGGAAGTGGGAGTCTCAAAACGTCACAATTCATGCGAGAGTCGACCGTATATTCTGATCAACATAGGATGCTACTCCTTGACACCTCAGTGGTAGCTGAATTCTCTACTATCCGATCACCTCCTTCTATTTGGACTCCTTTTCCTTGCAAGGATTCGTTTCATGCATAAGCGAGAAAAGACCTCCTGTCGTCGTTAAGTCGAGGCAAGTGGCGCATGGCGAATATATTCTGAATAAAATCCCTTCCTTGTATGTGCAGTAAATAAAGGAAGACCCGCCTAAAGAACCTCGGTTGTTCAATAAACATTAAGCACAGCATGAAGGAGGAATTAGGCAGAAAAAAAAAGCGGAATGGGCCGCATTCATGCCTCTCAGAGAAGTCACCGACCAACAGACGGACCCAAAACTAGGCGCGCACCATTTCAACACAACAGTCCTTCCACCGTTATGCAGAGACGCAGGAAGATACTTCAACAACGTTGAGGAGTTTGCACACCAGCCTTAGAGTACTTGAACGGCATTTTCTGTATCCTCGGAAACCAAGAGAATTGGCATTGATAAAGAAATATAGATAGTCAGATCACGTAATAAAAAGAACAGACGAAAGATGTACGAAAAGAATAGTGGGCTGGAGTTTCGTAGAATGGAAGCATGGAAGCGTCTTCTTAGACGACCACCAAAGCGATGGGAGGACATGTTGGTGGCTAACGTCCCCCATCTGCATTAGCAGATAGCAACGATTCAAGGACTGCACAATGGACATCGACAAGTCTTCATATTTGAAGCAAACTATCACCATACACGACGATAGTGAGAGAGAGAAAGAGAGATACGAATGTGCATTCCTCGCTCATGTATGACTCTATGCGGCTGCTCTTCACCAATTAATTGGAATGCTTACAAGGAATAAAATGCCTCTGAAGAAAGCGAAACCGCCGAAATGTCAGTTATTATCTTGGGAACTGCTACATAAAGATGATTGAAGTGACTACTGCGTCAGTTCTGTCTGATAAAATTCAAAGCGCGACGAAATATATGACTCGTTTACATTCGTCTTGATGAAACATCTGAGGAAAAGTGCTGGTTATTGTGCCAGCTTTGTAACCTGTTCTCAATCAGTGTTTTTGGAAGAAATTTATCGCATACGATGTGCTTTGTGAGGTGTCCGACATTTCATCTCGAATGGTAACACTAAAACTGGCTAAGTGAGTCAGTGTCCAGTGTTTTTCGGGAAAATCTTTCTTCAGGATCTTAATCTTTCCACGTTATGATTTTGAGAGACACCGCACACACACACACACTCACACAAACACACACACACACTGATACACATACACATGCAGCATTTGTAGCTCATGCATACAATTAACAGCCTCTCTCGATAAATTTCGGACAGTAGTCGTGTGTAAATAGATAGATTTTTGCAAATATACAAATGGATAGTGGAGAAAATGAGATTTTATTAGTGACTCAGGTAGATTGATTGCACCGATATAAGTGATGAGAAAGTGAAGAGAATGCAAAGAGCACTAGTATCAGTAACGCGATTTAACAGCGAAGCAATGTTATCTAACTATGTGCCATGTCTGAATCAACGACGGGTGCCGTCTTCGAAGAAGACTCCACCATCTATGGCGCAGTATTTCGGACAGATACCCTTTTCTCCGCCGGTACCGGCAGGTCCAGGAGGCCCTGGTGGCCCTGGCTGTCCGTCAACTCCTGGTGGTCCATCAGGCCCAGGTGCTCCTTTCGGTCCAGGTGGTCCTGGTGCACCGTCATTTCCAGGCGCTCCGGGTGGTCCTGGCGGTCCCGGTTGTCCTGAAGAGTACAGATTTAATTGAACCTTACTAACAAAAAAAGATATGAAACCAGATTTAAGAGCAAATATAATATTAATAGTCTACCTGCATCGCCGGGCTCTCCAGGTGCTCCAGGCGTAAGTGGTTCACTCTGTGCAGGCACTCCTGGGTCTCCTTGAGGCCCTGGCTGTCCAGGTTCTCCTGCAGGTCCAGGCGGTCCACGAGGTCCTGGTGATCCATTGGGTGCATCGTTTCCGGGCCGTCCAGGAGTACCAGCCTCTCCTGGGTCTCCAGGTGGTCCCGGTGGTCCAGGAGGTCCGGGTGGTCCTTGTGGGCATGGCTTACATGGAGGAGGAGTTGTAGGCTCACATGGCGCCGTAGGCGGCTTGCCGGGTATTCCAGGTGTTCCTGGCGCACCTGGCCGTCCAGGTCTTCCAGGCTTTCCTGGTGGTCCGGCTGGTCCTGGAGGTCCAGGTAGACAGCATCCTTCACACTGGAGGTTTGGCGAAGGGTTCACCTCTGGAGCACTACCATAACTCGTTTGACGGGAAGTACGATTTCGTGATGCAATTTGTCCATTGTGAGCTTTCATGAAATTTACCTCGGCAAAAATATCCTTGGCCGATCCCTAAAGCAATTTTTCACGCAGTTAAATACAGTGTTTTAAATACGAGTTTAGATGGTGCAAAAACAAGAAAAAATGTTTAAAAACTGCGATATCAACTGTATGATCAATAATCACCTTGCAGAATGAAATTTCATGCTGCATTTGTCGTCGTACATGATTGACATAATTATAGACCATAGGTAGGGTTAGCACTACAGAAAGCACGGCAACAATCGAAAACGAGACAGCGGCGTAGGCGACGAATTTATAGGCTTTAGTCCGGCCGTCAGTTTCCATGGCTGGGATGACTGTTCGAGTAGTGGGCCGGCGTTGGTGCTTCTTTTCACTGAGGCGACCTTTTGTACTTGGTAGCTACGCCGGTCTCGCCCGCCCCTCCTCCACACGCCCCAACACCAAGCCCGTCTGGGCGACAGACGGATCCGGTGCGCCAGCATCATCTTCCGATCCCATACCAATTCCGAAAACAGGCAAAAAGAGCGCAGCTCGTCACAGTTTTCTACTGTGGGTACCGTTATGTGCACTTTTCGATTGAAAGAATCTCGAAGCATTGCCAGATCGTTATCCTGGAGGGACCGATAACACAAAGAGGTGTGAAGTGAAATTTAAAAAGATAAGTAATAAATGAGAAATTCATAAGTAAAAAGCTGTGTTAAACTTTATAGAATGTTCTAATTTTGAAATATTAGTTCCGACTCATTATCAAAGGAACTTGAAAAATCTTACGTGTGATCATAGATCACATTTACCTGCGAGAGAATCAAACCGAAATCTGCACTCATGACGACGGTCTTGTGGGCAGCTTCTTATCGACATTACTTTGTAGTAGACATGGTGCCGTCGGTTATTATGGCAGAAACGTTCTGAAACCTTTTGACTAGTTCCATCTTTTTGCTTGTAGTCCTATGATGGTTGTTATTAAAGACATTGGTAAATTTTCCCTTAGATAATTCCTAGTGGTTCAACATTCAACTTATGAAATGGTAGGTTTGTACTGTCTGGTCCTCGTGACCTACGAAAAAAAATTCAGATTCAAATTTTTATTTTTTAATGCATTTTTCGAAGCCATTGTTTTCTACCAACCTTACCAATAGAGCTGCTCAATGCAAATTGAAAAGATAGTTATGTCCCTTCTAATGTGGAAATCTTCTAGAATATCTTTCTTTGCACAATTATTTTGGAATTCATTTGCTTTAAAACCATTTTCCTATATTGTTTTGATCTCCGAGGAGGTATCTATAATTTCTCCAACTTCATTCATCTTCTCGTATTAGAGAAATGTTAACTGACTGTAGCAGACAATCCAAAATTGGAAGGTGACCAGTTTTTCAAAAGCACTCATTAGGGCTTAACCCGTTTTGCCTTTTCCATTCCATTCTCATAACATAATTTTCTCTTATTCTAGTTTTTAAAATCTGTTGATTTTTTGCGTAGGTAGGCGAAGCGGTTAGAGTTTCTGGAGACAACGTATTCAAATTCAGCACTTAAGCATAAAGCTTTGGACGCATATCATCTCCTTACAAGTTGTCGTCAGTAGAAAGCAGTTTGCAGACCGGACCCGTTTGTCGGGCGATTATCACCGCTAAAGCTGATAGGTCACCGAAGGCTGGAGAGTAGGGGCGAACTAGTATCAGCCCCGATAGAGTCGCTGTTCGCGCGCTCTGCGCTTTCACTTGTCGGGATTCCTATCTATCGCCATCGTCGCTACTCAGTTAATCGAGTGGTAAGCACGAAGTCGACTCAGTTTTTCCCAAATGAAGCCAAAGCATCCGAATTTTTTAGGCTATGCTAGAGATTACTATTTCCATGTTTTACGATAACTAAACAAGAAGAAATACAGCCCTTGAACATATTCTATCGTAATATCCACAATGATGCGGAATATTTGCAAAACTTCAGACCGAAAGTGTCTGAGGTAGAGTAAAATAAAGAATAAATAAAGATAAATAAGTAAACAAATAAAAAAAGCCACTAGATAAAAAGTGATTCCACTGTAATAATTTCAACAAATAACACCCTACACCTATTGAGTACAAAGCATTTGATGCAAAAATAACGAGCACTTTCATTTACCACCTCATAGTGACCTCTATTAATTACGATAAAAACCATTGACACCATCGGATCGCTGCGTATAAGGCATAAGTGCTCCCGATTTTTAAACGAAACCAAGCCCTCGTTTCCTAAAGAATACCTGTATCTCGAGCTCTTCTACCAGGTATTCCACTAATCCATTCGTCAATGTTTGCAGTTTTGGTGATTACGTTAGAATGTTTAACGTTTTGTTTTCTGCCTTCTATAATTTTCATGGCAGGTTACTAAGCGAAATACAACCACAATGTTGCTGAGATGCGNATGAAAATTATAGAAGGCAGAAAACAAAACGTTAAACATTGTGATTTCAACTACAGCCATAGCTTAACTGGGTTCTATGCCGATTTGCGCTCCCCAGATCAATCCCGCTGACTGGTGATTGCTGTGGCAAAAAGATCGGTAGAAATAGCTGAGAGACAGGCGAAACGAAGGACCTGCATGGCGTGGTGGTGAACGCGTGACTCCCCGGAAAGGACAATAGCGCGTTCGTTCCCCACCATAGACACCTGTGGTCCAGAGTTTTGCAAATATCTCAGTAACGTTGTGATTACGTTAGAATTCCTAAAAACTTAACTTTCTTTACTAACTTCTAATCCCCAGGAATTTTAATTATAGGCAAATCTGTAATTGAAAAGGCATTTTTCAAGCATTACTAAATGCTCAGAACTCTTAACTCATTAGATACTCCAGTTGTAGTAAAATTATCTCCAGTTGTCCAAAAGCCAGTCTCGGGCATCATTACTCGAGGTCTTACGTCAAAGGATCCGCTCTCACACATCCGCTATAGTGCAATTCCGGAGTTGCATAAAGATTGGTCGTTTGTTAAAAAGATTAAAAAGTAGAAATCTACTCCTTCACTTGTAGACGTCTACCATAGCGGCAACAAACAGCAAAATAAAACAACACAAGTGGTCCAGTTATCGAATGCTTTTATCAAAAAAATTCCTGGACAAAAAATGAAAGAATCACGTTTTATTCGATTACCGATGGTGGTTCGTGGAAATGACGTCATCACAACATAAGCGTTCAGCGCTAAAATTCCGGTTATTAGAAGGAATCTCTCTACCATTTCCAGACTTTCTACAACTCGTCATGATGGCCAGAGAATTTTAATATGTTCACATGCAAGTGATCCAAATGAGGGCGCAAACAGCTACCAGAAATGTGTTAAAAGGGAACAAATCTTAAACTTAGTTTCACTTATTGGTATTTTGCAAAGTAGGAAGGTGAGCGCTCGACATGAAAGTTTTGACCCACATTTGGTGTTCTCGTGCGTCAATGAGTGACTTGTTCAATTGCGTTTAAACACACATATTGGAAGCAGCATTAGAATAACCTGCAAATACGAGCTTCATGTTAGGAAAATTGGACCGGAGTTTTGGTATAAAATGCTTACTTGGACATTTGATTGCCCGCTTGACCGATGCATCCTACAGCTGTTCCTTTCTGTACCGTTGCAGGTCTTCAAGGATTTCAAACAGCCAGGTTTTACTACCTGGTTACTGTATTCGAGTCGAATTTGTCCAGTGTTCTTTTCTTCATGAGAAGCTCTTCAGGAGTACTGAGTAAGAGTGGTGGGTAGATCCAAAGTTTGAAAAAGTGAGGCGTAATTTGTTGCACGTAGGCTTTAAGTCCACCGAAAATTTTCATCTCAGTATCCACTGATCTGCCAACCATGAAGGAAAAGACTTCTGCCCAGAATTTAACTCGCCATAAGCGGCTTTACTTTTACCTTCTCGAGGACGGCAGTTTTGTTTTAGCTTGCGTGCGAATCAAGCGTTTGCACGGTAGACACACTGAACAGATCCTGCATTGAGTCGCAGCTCCATGGAGGTTTCAAGGAGGGACTGACTTCCGTTTATTAGTTTACGATCGGTCATCGTATGAGTCATTCTTTAGGATGCCCAACTGAAGATGCACTTATTTTCGAAAAAGTAAGTTTTGTGAAAGTGCTTGTTGCGAAAAGGAGTCCATCAAGACTTAATATTTCCGTTCCGGTCTCCTGTTTCAATTTTGTTGATTCAGTATCAACTTTAAACGAGCTTTCGTAATTTGATGTTGAGTTCTCTGAAAGTAGGTTCGTAAAACCACTTTTTTTCGACTACTGTCTTTTGCTGATCAAGGAGAATATTTTGTTGCCTCAAGCTGCTTGGTAGGGAGCGTGTGGCGCAGTGGTCGGAGGCTCCCTGCAACACACACGTGGGATCGATCCCGGCGCCCATGGCCCACCAAGTCTTCCATCCCTCCGGGTTAGGTAAATTAGTACCAGACCTGTCAGGAAGGATCGCAGCACTGGCTTGATACATCGGTAGGCCACCGTGAGTCATTGCAAAGGCCAGATATGCATTCAATCACCTCCAACGGTGCTTAATGAAGTCGAACGCATGGTGCATCCCTCAAGGATTGATCAACGCCGAGAACTTTACCCTTTATCCTTTAAGCTGCTTGAAATTCGTGAACAGCAAGTGATGGTACTGATCCTACTATCTGGATTCGGTGTGCTATATCTGTACCTATGCTGCATCGGTTTACTATGTCGCCTTTAATTTTTCAGTCAACTAATCACAGAAATTTCTGGTATCTTAAAGCAGTCTTATTATTAAAACAGCACTCCATGCTTTGATAAACAAGAGGATGGGTAAATTTAGGAATATAATTAAATTGCTATCTTGTTGTCTACGCAAAACCGCTCGCCAACACGTTGTTATGCGTCGATGTGGAGAGGTTTGCAAAGAGAGTTAGGTGTAGTTGAATGTCATAATGTCATTTTGATCTTGTTCTAGGGAACTCCTATGCTGTTCATGATTTCACTCCTTTTCAGCGACTTTCCCATTGGTCATCGCTATATGACGGGCGCAGCTAGTTTCACCATGTACTGGGGCAGGTTCATTAATGATTTTCTTTTGTGGAATCCCTGGGTAGCTTTGTACTCGTTTTCTCAAGTCATACCACTAGCAATCACAGAGCTTCGGGAGCACACGGCAGCGTGACACTTGGAAAATCTCTCCAGCAACAATGAGGATGAGGATGGTCGACTGTTCATAAATGAGTTGTTACCTAAAACTCAGAAAATAGATGCATCTTCAACACAGAGGAGATATGCTAGCAGAAGTCGTTTGGAATCAAAACTGTTGTTCTGGCATTATGCTAGAGTTGGTTCTTTGGAAGTTTCCTTCAAACGACGT